CAAGGAAGAGATATAAAACTAAAATTTTTATTTTGTACAGAGAAACAAATATATTTTGAACCTCGTAGATGCGACCGGGATCTCGTACCTAGGTACAAAATAGATTATCCTGACGTTCAAAGGGAGAAGGCCAAAGAAGGCTCGGCCCGGATAAACATTCCGCCAGCTGAGCTCGGGCTACGGTGATGCACCTGGCTTGATCTCATCCTCAGACATCACCAGCTCCCATCTTCTCCCTGCTCTATTGCATCGTTTTATTAACTCGTGGCAATCCTGTCAGCATCTCCAGTCCCCCATCGTCACCATGGGGTCTGATCCTCAGTACATCAAGTTCCCCAACCTCTCCATCGCCCAACATGTCTTCAACCTCTCCAACCCAGCATGCGCGCCGGCCGTCCAGCAGAGCTCATTGAAGAAGCTCCAAGAAGTTATCTCGGAGAATAAAATGGCTCCCTTCTACCGGCATCTCGCCCATCCCACTGAAGGCATCTTGAACAACTCCGGCGAAGGCGTAACACAGCACCCACAAAATGGAGGCAACTCAACGAAACCTCTCATCACGTCCAATCTTCTTGCATCTCGCAAAACACCGCTAAAGTTTGATTTCCCTTGGGACGAGAAGCTCTACCAGTCTCTACTGGAGGATAACAAGAAGGAACTGGAGACCTTCCAGAAGGAGGAAGATGATGCGGAAGAGGCTGCTGGGGAGACTGAGGTACAAGCTGCGCGTGGGAAGCGAGCTGAGTTCTGGGCTCGTGTGGGAGATAAGGTGAGAATTCTTCCATGTTTTGTCAAGCTTTTTGGGAGTTTACTAGCTGACACCGGTATTCCAATAGGACAAAGCTGTCGAATCCCACGAAGCCCTCCTCGAAAAGACCGGATTCCTGGGCACCAAGATTGATCTTGTGATGGCTATGCTCCGCATCGGACTCTTCTTCGGCGACCTTTTGTTTGTGAACAAGACCATTGAACGAGCAGAGACCTTGGTAGAGAGTGGTGGAGACTGGGACCGTAGAAACCGTCTCAAGGCATACAAGGGATTGCATTTGCTCACCATTCGCTCTTACAGCCTTGCCGCTCCTCTCCTTCTCGACAGTCTGTCTACCTTCACAAGCTACGAACTTTGCAGCTATTCTTCGTTGGTGATTTACTCAGTGCTCGCGGGATCCTTGTCCCTCAAGCGTGTGGACTTCAAGGCGAAGGTAGTGGATGCACCAGAGATCAAGGCCATCCTTGGCTCTGGGGAAGACCAACTGGCTGCCCTAAGTGGGGAAATCTCCTCAGGACCCGGTGCCCGGGATGAGGAGATGAAGGATGCAACGGCGTCACTACCCACACCCGCCGGTGCCAAGACCGCTGTCAACATCTCCTCTTTCTCCACCGGCTCCGGTGCGGCAGTAGAGGCGGAGGTGCCCGTTGATTTCGCACCGCTTGCAAACTTGGTTACCAGTCTCTACAACGGCAACTACCGCTCGTTCTTTGTGGCACTCGCGGCCGTTGAGGACCAGTTCCTCACACAAGACCGGTATCTGCATGAGCACCGTGCTTGGTTTGTTCGTGAGATGCGACTGCGCGCCTACCAGCAGCTTCTTCAGAGTTACCGTGTGGTGGGGCTGAGTGGTATGGCCAACGACTTCGGCGTGACGGTAGACTACTTGGACCGGTATGTGCTATATAGATCTTTTCAAATATGACTTTTGCTGACCATAACCACAGTGACCTTGCCAAGTTCATTTCAAACAACCGCATTGCGTGCACCATCGATCGTGTCAATGGTATTATCGAGACGAATCGACCAGATGACAAGAACAAGCAGTATGCCGATGTGGTGAAGCATGGTGACTCTCTGATCACCAAGATCCAGAAGTACGGCCAAGCTGTGCGTCTCCGGGGAAGTGAGCGAAGCTAATGTGGTACATCTACGAACTTGGAGGCATTCTGAGCCTCAAAACCACAACCTATGATCAACTATGTATGCGTGAATGGACAATCTTACTTACCGCGTGTTCTTAAACCCAAAATTGGCCCCGTAGATCCTATAACATGCCACCGCCATGCCATGCCAAGATATGATTAGGTTCCTTGACTAAAAGTAACCAAAGTTGAAGCTCCGCATCGGGCAGCGCCGGAAAATGGATCGACATCCATCGGGCAACCGTCTGACTTTCCCTCGGAGAATAATCGTCTCCGATCGTGTTATCATGCATGAACGTGGATGATCCTCAATGCAAGTTGTGTATACGCAGTAATTCTCATCATCGACCAAAATCTCGTAGCCACATCTCCCGCTCCATGACTCTGATATCTCAATATCCTTATCGTAATCGGCTGCCGACGGGTTGTGGGGAAATGCTGACTCACATGTTCACCGCCAAAGGCCAAGGCCATTTTTTTTTCCCTTCTTCTCCCGATCGCAATCGGACAATTACGACAGGGGTTGTGCCAAAAGACCTTTTAATTGATCAATCTGATCATTGATTGACCATTCGTCAAAATGTCCTGGCAATATAAGCTCGCATCCAGCGTGCGGGCCTCTCCGCTACGGGCGCTGACTAGCCGGTCGAATGGCCTCCTACATCGCCCGGCCGCATGTGGCGGTGCGGGGTGTCTTTCCGCCAGGTCAGGTACGTCCACGGGTGGGATCCCGATATCACCCCAGCTTACATAGTTTGGGGGTTTCCGCAAACCTTCGGCCTTGGGCTTTCGCCCCGCTGTTGTGTGGTGTGATTACTTGTCTTAACCATATCTCCCCCCACATTTTTTGGTTGCGATTTCAACGCTCTCCGCGGCCTTTATATACTTGATTCTCCTCTTAGTTTCCGGGACACTAGTCTACTTATTCTGAACCTCACTAACCTCCTCCGGGTCAATCCAGAGCCCATCATGACTCAGACCACCGTCTCATATACCGCTAAGCGCACCCTGTCGGCCGTCCAGAACCGCAAGTGTCTAAACGTCGACAACATCAACCAGCATGTTAGGGATGCTAAGTACGCCGTGCGCGGTGAATTGGCCGTCAAGGCCGAGACCTACCGCCAGCGTCTGATTGATGGCGACAAGTCCCTGCCCTTTGAAAGCGTCATCTTCGCCAACATCGGTAATCCCCAACAGCTCGATCAGAAGCCCATCACCTTCTTCCGCCAGGTCCTCAGTCTCGTCGAGAACCCCTTGTTGTTGGAAAACCCCGAGGTCCTCAAGCAGTCATTTGGATATAAGCAGGATGTGATCGACCGAGCCCAGGCCCTTTTGGCCAATGTGCAGAGCGTTGGCGCCTACAGTCACAGCCAGGGTGCACCGGGCATCCGGGACAGCGTCGCCAAGTTCATTGAGAAACGTGATGGCTTCCCTGCCGACCCCCAGGACCTGTTCCTGACCGGGGGTGCCTCTTCAGGTGTGAGCACCATCTTGAACGTCCTCTGCAACGATCCCAGTGCCGGTGTCCTCGTCCCCATCCCTCAGTATCCTCTTTACACCGCAAGCTTGACGCTGTTGAATGCCCGCTGCGTTCCTTACCTCCTCGAGGAGGAGAAGGCATGGGGTACTAACGTCAGCACGATCCTCAAGTCCATTGAGGACGCCAAGGCCGCCGGCACCGATGTGCGTGCCATTGTCGTGATCAACCCGGGCAACCCAACCGGTGCCTCTCTGAGCGCCGACGATATCAAGAAGGTTCTTGATGTCGCCGCCGAGGAGAGCTTGGTGGTCATCGCTGATGAGGTGTACCAAACCAACGTTTTCAAGGGCGAGTTTGTCTCCTTCAAGAAGCGCCTGCGCCAGCTCCAGCAGGAGCAGCCTGGCAAATACGACGACGTCGAGCTGGTCTCGTTGCACAGTATCTCCAAGGGTATGGTTGGTGAGTGCGGCCACCGCGGTGGCTACTTCGAGCTTGCTGGCTTCGATCCCCTGGTCCAGGAACAGATCTACAAGCTCGTCAGCATTGGCCTGTGCCCGCCGGTCGTCGCACAGTGCCTACTCGAGTGCATGGTCAACCCTCCCATCGAGGGCGATCCTAGCTTCGAGCTCTACCAGAAGGAGTACACCGGTATCTCGGAAGGTCTGCGCAAGCGTGCCTTCTCCTTGTTCAACGCCTTCCAGCGCATGGAGGGTGTTGAGCTCCAGGAGCCCCAGGTACGTATTATGGACTTGTTCAAATTGTTACGCATTTACTAATCGTCTTAACAGGGTGCCATGTACCTCTTCCCCACCATCAACCTCCCCGCAAAGGCCGTTGAAGCCGCCAGCGCCGAGGGCCGTCCCGCCGATGAGTTCTACTGCTTGGCCCTGCTGGACGCCACAGGTGTCTGCGTCGTCCCCGGCTCGGGCTTCGGCCAGAAGGAGAACACTTTCCACTTCCGCACAACCTTCCTTGCCCCTGGCACCGACTGGGTTGAGCGCATCGTCAAGTTCCACTCCGAGTTCATGGACAAGTACCGATGAACATGTACAAATGTACAAAAAGCCATGTAAATGTGAACTGCCCATCCATCGCCATCTGCTCTTCGAGCGATTGGTTGCCACCATATATTACTTTTGGTTGTGGTTTTTTTTCATGTCTATACGAGATGGGTCATTGGCATCCATCTATGTGTGGCCTCTACGACGAAATGTTTTGAATATTTGAATTTGGATATGGATCTGGAATTGGCCCGCCCATGATACCTCATAGACTACTGACTCTATTGGGCTTGCTACTTTCGGTTCTCATTTTTGGGTACTCTTCGCAGGCACTTGTGCATCGCATTTTGAATAGTGGTATACATTTGCATCGTTTGTTCTGCTTGATATAGGTACTTCGTACCTCGGTTTGCCTTTATAGAGAATAAATTCTGCTTCATTGATTCCTAACAAGTTCTTGTATCTTCGTCCTTCTGTTCTTGTCCCTGATTTCATATTTGCTTGGATGTAGACGAGTGAGAAGAGAGGGGACGGCTGGAAGGTATTTGGGGTGGGGGGGAAGAGAGGTGACATGAAGTGCAAATATTAGGTTCAGGGAATATCATTCACTCTCCAAGTGCAAAGGAGCAAAGCAAACCGTGGTGATCGCTCCAGAGTGTGACTTCGTGCTGAGTCTGCTGAAACTCGGGTATATTCGAATCACACTGAGCGTCCTGTTGTCCATCCAACTTGCGCACTCGCTGAGCCTCGAGGATTTCAATTCCACGCGCTTTGAGACCGAGCAGCGCGACTTTATCCATCCGATTTGGCGGGAATCGCTGCTTCCCATCCGCTCCCCATGTATACCCAGGTTCTTCAGGACAAAGGGCTGTCCAGGCATCTGTAAGTCCATTGGTTTCGATGAGGGCGGCATCTTCATCCAGAACCGGGTTGAAGTCACCAGCCACAAGCCCACGGCCTGCACTACGCAGAAAAGAGGAGACAATGGACAGTTGCCGCGGCCGGTGGGAAGGTTTGATGGGCAGGGAATCGAGATGAACGTTCGCAAGGCGTACCCGGGTAGTAGAAGCAGCATCTGTGGGGGAAGGAAAGAAGAGATCACAAAAGAGTACATCTCTACGAAAGTGGCTAGGGAAGGCCACTCTCCAAACAGGTCCTAGAGCAAACCTGGATGTCTCAGAGCTGTCTCGCGATCCAAACCGTGTCTTGGATACCAAGGTCATGGTCGTGAACGAGTGTCTGCATGGCGTGTTCTCGTGCTCGCTTGAGAACCACGATACACGAATACGCTCGTCGCTCAAAATCAGCCGCAGAGCCCGCTGTGAGACTTCTTGGAGAAATATGATGTCTGGCTTGGAATCCAGTTGGGTGATGAATGTGAGAATTTCTGGGACGCGTTCTTGCGTCCGCTCTGATAATGCGTCGATATTCCATGTCAAGAGAACTAGATCCGATGATGTAGATGATGTATCATCGGCACGTGGTGGCTCTGCGTTTTCATTTGCCCTCACTGGATCCCACTGCTGGGAGTTGGGATCGAACTGGTTCCAGGACTGGAATTTTGATTCTGGTACGTCGGTTGGAAGAGGTGTGTCTTTTTTCCAGGACATTATGCTTGATCGAACACGTGCGTAAATATCCATGGTGAGAATGACGTTGATCACTTCAAAGGTTGCCTAGTGAGATTCACCTTCCTTGGAAGGTTTGAGGTTCCAACCTTAGTTTTAAGATTAGTTAAGCATTCAGCCTCACCCGGGCAGGCTAACGAGTGTGACAAGGGTCTACCTAATGTAGGAATAACTGGGAAGAGATATGAATCAATGATTAAATCCATACACATGTAGTTTAGGTCTGGCTTTTTGTAGTGGCAATCCTACATCTTGAGCGAGGGGCCCCACACTCATCCCCATATCCTGGCCCTTCTGGGCATATTAACACATTGGACGATAATACATTTTCCCCTATCAGTCATGCTGATTTTCGAACGATTCTATCGTAAACTATTCTTTTCCTACAACTCGCGACCAGCTCATGTCCATAGTAGTACATACTTATAACAGAAACCATGTACTAACAACCACATACTAACAGCACCACTGGCTATTCTATAAACTTCTTAAAAGTACCTCTCCATAATGCACAGGAAAAAACGGTTCTTCTCTGTGCTCTATTGATACAAATAAGCTATTCTTTGACATTATCATAACGATAAGATGCTGGGCAAGCTATATATTTCGGGGACAGTAGTGTACAGACCCACCACAACCCTAATAGGAGAGAAGCACAAGAAAGTGACGTACCAGACTGATGATCTCAGTAGTTTGATGACGAAGCCTGATACGTATGTTACAATAATACAAAACTATTTAATTAATCAGAGATATGCACGGTCAGCGATCCTTCTGCTTGGTAAATGCTTAGTTCAAAAAGCGAGCTAAGACCGGAACTCGAATCCTTGTATGGTCCCGAAGTCTCATGATGAGCTAGTAGTCAGCTGCATTTGATCCCAACAACAAGGATTGAGCACATTAGTATACATATTATACCTCAATCTGACATGTACCGTGATACAAGAGATGCAAAGAAGCGGTGAGCATTCCATGGTAGACAGAAACAAGGAATACAACGATGAAGATGAACATAAACGTAAAGATAAACATCGACCGGCTGAGTGATTGTAACCTATGACCTCAGAAGCAATCTACCTCTATCCGTCCTTTCCCGACATACGTCCCCAACACATACAAAGTACACCGTACAACATGCATCCCCAACCCGAGACCCATACATATGCAAGGCGCATACATAGTCAAATCCACCCACTCACCGCATCTTACGCCATGTATTCGGTAACCTGCCATCGGTATTGCTAGGACCTCCAGATCGTACACAAGATCTAATCGTACAGCAAGGTGCAGCATAGAGTAGTCACACCGCAGACTACATTTTCGGACGAATACCGCACCTACCCCACGCTCCAAGCCTTGACTTGCATTGTCTTGGCTAATGCTTAGCTATAGGTTGGCGCTGCTACAGGGGGATTCCCTGTTGCACGGTGTGTACAACGTACATCATGCATGTATGTGGGTGGTTGCGTTGGGATCCCTAGCTAGACGGGAAGATTACGTATGTATGCACGTTAGGTACATAGCTGATATGGAGCATGGAACTGTTTGGTTCTATTTTAGGGTGTCTCACATTGTGTTAAAGGCAGGCACAGAGCAGGTCACCATTGGAGGCATCTTGGCAGTAGAACCCACTTAACACCCATTTTAGTGACTCTGAATGGTAAAATCAAATTTAGTAGATGTGAAGTTTCCGTTGGCTGATATCGAATCATTTGAATCAGAACGCATCAGTAGACTGGCACGCGACAAGATCACAAGAATAAATAAACAGAACCACGACAAAAAAAGTAACAAAGAGCCAACTTTTGAATGTAGATCGGTTCGTTCTTAAACACGAATTGCCAGGTGCTCGTGGTGAGAGGAGATAAGGTCATCACTGGCCTCAGCCTGACCGGACCCAAACGACTGCAAATTCCATTTGTCGACACCATCCACTCCTTGCAGGTCATTCGCGAATGTGCTAAAGAGATCATGATTAAGCCGTTCATATTCGGAGTATTCCTTGGGCCAATCCCCAAGGCGTTCAACTGCAAGTTTGAGCATATGCAAATGCTGTCGGACATGCTTCCCTTCTTCCGCGTTTTCGCCCGGACTGCAGCCGGGTGAAGGGGATGAGATTCCCGAGAGGACCTCCATGTCCACATCGCTGGCAGGTACCGAGGACGGGTCAATGAACACATGCAAGGCATTCTCGTGCAGTGCGGCTGCCTTGCGATAGTACTGGTAGGCCAGCTTACGCCGACCTTTCTGGCTTTGATAGTCTTGAGCCACGCTGGTATACATCTGTGATAGAAGGACGGTCATCTCGACCGTACTCGGATGGCGGGGTCCATGGACACGAACACAGTTGTAGACAAGACCCTCCGCGAGCCGGACAGCTGCGGTGTAATCGCTGATGAGATAGCGGGTAATGACGAGCATACGCCCGAGCGCAAGCGTATATGCATGCTGTGGCTGTGCCAGATAGGCGTCCCGGCTGTTCCACAGCGAGGTGAGAACCCAGGCCATGGTGTGGTAATCCTGTTGCTCATCCAGAACCTTGATCAAGCTATTGACGTGTTCCAGATGCAGCTGTGCGATCTCAACGTTGTGCTTTTTGAAATCCCCCAGGGTATCATGAAGAATCGTCGCTGACACGCTCAGCAGGTACTTCTCGACCGAGGCTGCTGGACGTTTGTCAGTCTCTCGGCCGGCCATGAGGAGGCCCAGCTTGAACACCAGCTTGAGTGTCGCATCGGACGAGTAGCCATGGTGGGAATTAATGTATTTCGTCGCTGCCAATGCGATGTGACCGGCAGACTGATAATCTTCGGAGTGAAGCAGCTGGGCTGCGCGGTTGTAACTAGCGATAGCCACTGAACGCATGAAGTCGTGCGAGGAATGGGTGCTAAAATATTCTAGGACCGTCTTGATAAAGACCTTAGCCTGGTTAGGGCCGATATCCAGGCGGGAGCCCTCGGTCGCCAGGAAGAAGCTGGTATACCGATCTGCCACCTGAGTGGCATTGGATTGACGGTCGCGGCTAAGCAAGAAGCCGTGCAGACGGGCCGCGGTTGCCGCCGTGTCCTGGAGCTTGCCAGCCTTTGAGCTGAGGGCTTCCCGGAACTGTTCAAAATATATATACTCCGTGGTCAGGGCGGCATAGATTTCGTTCAACGTAGTAGAGCTGTCTTCGGACTCCCGGATGCTGTATTCGAACTGAGCCAGGAAAGCAATGCCCGATCGCCCCTTTGAACTCTGATCAAGGCCAAAAGCACTGGGATCCTTGGTATCCTTGGTAATAACATGACAATAAATCTTGTTTGAGAGCTCCTTGGCCTTTTGAATTTGACCGGCTGCAATATAGCCAGATGCAATACTCTTGGCCGCCGCATTCAGCTTGATAGAGAATGTCTCGGTCGATAGCACTTGCATTGCTGCTTCCTGTAGCAGGGAAACAGCTGCCTGTGACTTCCCTTGTTTGGTATAGAGTGAGACGATCTCTTCCATCTGGGATAGGGCTCCCTCGTGGGCCCATCCGTAGCTGGACCGGATGGACGCCAGTCGTTGGGTACGAATGGACAAAGACTTCTGTAGCTCCTTTGTCGACATGTTTTCCACCTTTGAAGTAGTGAAGGCGGCACTCTGCTGCTCGTAAATTGCATCCAAGGTGGCACGGATGTCCTGATGGTCGATTTCAACTTCACTGGATTTGATTTGCAAGAGCTCTTCGTATAGCTGGACCGCTTCCGCTTCAAATTGCTCGGATTCTTGGCAGATATTTGCCAACGTGTTGGTTGCCTGTATGGTGATCGACGCGCTCGCACCGAAGAGGCTAATGCACGATTTGCGATATTGCACCGTCACATCATGAATGGTAGTAGAGTCACTGTGAGTCATTCGCAGACAATGAACATATCGTTGGTAGATGGTCTGGACAAAGCCCGGATCCCGCAATTTCTGGCTGATCTGGGGGCTCTGTAAGGTAGTGAACAACATCCGGCAGGGTTTCAGCGCGTCCGCGTATCGACTTTGCTTCAAGAGCTCCGTCGCCACGATCAGGAGCGGCTCAAAGGCATCCGGGTGACAGGTTTCCGAGTCCTTGCTCAGGATCTGGACGATCTGGCGATAATAATCCAGTGCGATGGGTTGCGGGGTTGTCAGCTCGGCCAGGGTCCAGAGCTTTTGTATCACAGTGGGATGCTCCCCGCCGAAGCGCGTGGTATAATCATCCAGCATATCCTGGTGGATGTGGATAACTTTGTCGGCCTGAGAAGTACGCTCATATAGACGAAGAAGATTCACTGTGACTCGCTCCAAAATTTGATCTCCGCACACTTGCCGATCGCGTCGAACTGCACTATAAAGCCGGGCCCGGATATTCTCTTCCTTTACCAGGCGGCGGCGGGTTCGGTAGCACCCAGCGAGGCGCTCTGCAAGATCAACGCAGTACTCAACATGAATTGATGGCAGGACCACCTTTTCGATCGAGGCCGCAAACAACGATGGCCACACATCTCGCAACACTCGTTTCAACACGGTTGTGGCATCATGCCACCGGTGTTGAGACAGGTACATTTCGACTAGCGATGTGGTCGCTATGGTGAGATTTTGGTGGTCACTGGATGAACTATTATAAACCATTTCCTTCAGGGCTGACTCCGTCAACAGAGAGTTTGTAGATATCAGTTCCCGAGAAGTGGACTGAATATGCCTTTCCACTTCTTTGTGGGTGGCACTCTGGCTGCTAGTACTTTGTGCGCAGTGTTTGAAGACTTCGAGGGCCAACACGGACAGTCCCACGGACTTCATGACCTGAGCAAGCTCAAGCAACTCGGACACCAAGGGTTCCGCGCTGGAGGTGGTTTTCTCGTACTCTTCCCAAGCACCGGCAAGGATAGAGGCTGCTTCATTGTCCCTCTTCCGGCCTTTGAGGTATTTAGAATACTCGAGTACAGTGCGCAGAATTGAGACCTTGTGCTCAGTGGAGTGACTGAGCCGGTATGCCTCGCTAGTTTGCTGCCATAGCTCAACGTAGGTGCGTTCGGCGTCCGCCAAGTGACCCTCTGCCCTCTGTCTCTCGGCTTTGGTAAGGAGGGTCTTTACGTCAAAAGAAAATGTGATCAACTCGTCCGCCTCTATCCCAGTCAAATCCAGGGTAGTGGTTGCCTCTGCCATCCTGTGTTTGGGGCCGTGGAGGTGGACCAGCAATGACTCGTCCATCTGCAGAGACCCCCTCCGCTGGGTCGTACTATTGATGAAGGACCCCTCCAGAGATTCCTTAATCTCCTGTGCTTTGCGGTCCTCCTTGGTGAGAGTATAGTGCTCGGACAACTTCGTCAACGTGGATTTGACCACACTACTTGTCGCTCCGTGGTGAACCTTCTGGCATTCCACCAGCAGCTGGAGAATTTGGATGCGCCGCGTCATAACTTCCGTCTTAGACTCAGTGATCTTATCAACGGTGGCGTCCAGGAAGAACTGGGCCATCTGCATAGTGATGAGATGCCGTACAGATAACACCTTCTGGCTGATTGTTGCCGCCTCGTAAAAGATCCGACTGCTCTCCGCAGGGACGCTGTTGCTGATCTGTCGGTAAAATAGTGCCTGGCAGATTATGGCCTGCAGAGTAGCTGGGTGGTTATTGTTCAATATTTGGCGGTACAGGGTTGTCTGAATCTCATAAATGGACCGAAGCAACGGAGTCGCCTTGCTTTCCCACAGAGTCATCTCCAGGAGTGGCACAGAGGAGCTTGTGGGGAAAACAGATCGCAAACTCTTGCTTGCGATAGTGATCTCTTGGTTGGTGGTGCATCCAAAAGCAATTTTCGCATAGCCTGTCCAGTAACGAAGCGCAAAGTCCAACAGAGGATGTTTCTTCAATAGGTCTTCTGTCACCCGCCCATTCAGCGGATCCAAGGAGGGCCCATGGCTATCGGTCGCAGTCTTCTTTGCGTACAGGAGGAGTCTCTGTGCAAAATCCACATGCCTGTCCTTGATCGCGGGAAGGAATTTCCCTTTCGATAATACATCGAGGATAGCAGTGCGCACCTGTGCGTGCCTAGGATAGACCAGGTTGTTGTGGAAGAAGACTAGGGAGGCGACCGGCTTCAGTAGCTGAGGGAGGTCAATGTCGCGAGACTTGGCAAGGGCCGCCTTGTCAGGCTGGGTGGAGAGAAGAGCAGCCAGTTCCTGCTGGGCGAGGGGACGGTTCGCAGTGGCCAGCCAGACCAAAATCTTCTTCGTATCCTCATCCAGGTTGGACTGTAAGGTGTGGGAGATCAGATCTGGGACCTTATGTCCTGCCCGGACGATACTTTCCACGGACTTGGAAAGCTCGGCCTCGTTCGACGGGTGCTCATCGCGCACTCGCTTGGCGGCCAGCTTGGCCCAAAGGAAGGAGCCGTCCGATGCTTCCGTTATCCGAGCCACGGTCACCTCCTTGTCCTCGTCAGACATGTTGTTGTACGCATGACTCTGGTGAAGGAGTTTGCGGGTGACGGCGGCAATGTCATCGAAGATTAAGCCTAGCCTGACTCGCACTACCGTCTGGGAGATGGCCGAGTCCACTGGATTGGAGGCGAGTGTAATCAGCTTCACATTGGGGGACTTGGATGCCGCTTCATGAAGCCGGTGCGACAGGGTCGTCTCCCCACAGCTGGCCTCATCGACGCCGTCAACGACTAGAACTAGCTCTCTAGCACCCGCCCCACTGGTCTGGAGAGCACGCCCCAGGGCATTCCATAGAAGATCGTCGTACGACTCTTCGTCTACAGTCCGCTTGCTCTGGTTGTAAGCCTCGGCCAAGATTTGATACAACTGCAGGTTGCCAATGCGCTTGCTAAACATTTGCGACATGATCGTCTTGGCGACGGCGCCCGGGGTCGTGTTGGCAGGGATCCGACCATCTATCTCGGCTCGTTAGGGGGAGTAAAGGGGTGGGGTTAAGGGCAATGAGACTAACCGATAGGTGCCAATATTGACATATATCTAGTTCCTCTTACGGGATACTGCAGATAATCATTGATCACAGTCGACAAAACCGTCTTGCCGGAGCCCGACTTGCCGGCGATAGAAAGCACCTGCTGTTCGCCTTTTAAGAAGCGCATCAGATATGGCTTCACCCACATGCAAGTGGCCTCCTCGCGCTTCTGGCCTGAGGGAGCCGTGGCTTCAGTGATATGGGCAACCACCGGGTCTTCGGGCTGCAACCAGTCTTTCAGGGTATTGATTCCGACGGCTGTATTGATGTTATAAGAATGGACCAGATGGTTTTGGGGGGCTGGGGAGCGATTCTACCTTTATCTCCTTCAAGGCCCTCTCGCGTCAATTGATGACGCCACATAATATCTGAAATGTGCTCACAACGACCGCGAAAACTGTCGATCGGACCGGGGAAGGTGCTATAGATATTAATTGACACCGATTCCGAGGCAAGGAGCGACCGATGAAAGTGCGTAGCCACACAGACGACGAGAGTGACTAGATCGGCTAACGCAAGAATGAGCTGGTCCTTGATATCTGAAGAGACCACAAAGAGCTCTGCACGATCGAGAAGGTTGCCGAGACCAGAAGAGCAGCGGTAGAAAAATCCAAATAGGTCCATAAGGGCAAGGGCATTTTCCTCGCCCAACTACACGTTTGCGGTCAGTCAAAACGACTATGGGCTTGGGGTTGTGACTTCTGCTCACCTCGAGCAGGCTGGCACAGTATCCATACGATAATTGGGCAGCGAGGTGGCTGTCCCCGGCAAATTGCTCAATCGCTAAATCAAACGAATGTACACGCTCAATGAACAGGGCCGCCCACACAAGGGCCTTGTCGTACCCGCTCCCTTCGGGCGGTAGCTTCCTCATCCTCTCGCACCGAATCCACTCGAACAGGGTAGCATAGTCAGTATCGGACACCCGGGAGGTCGTAAGGTCATCGCTGCCCCGACGCGCAAGCGAGTTGACTACATCGGCGAGTGTGGTGTCTTCTCCACTGGGGTTCCTATTGGTTTGCTGGTGTTGATAACTGACACTCTTCTCCCTGGCCACGCCGGCGTGCTGCTCTACCATCTTTGAAGTGGGCCGCAGACCGAGCAGCGAAGTGGAGGGCAGAGATACACCATGGAGCGCTGAACCCATGTCTTTTGCCTTTTTGTTTTGCATATATCAAAGATGCTAGAAAATATGACAATAATTAAGCCCAATTTGGATTCTGAGAAATACCTTTTGAGTCCCGGTCTAGAGAAGGAGCTCCTCTTCCTTGTACTCTTACTCCACCATCTCGTCCCCATAATGCCGTGCCATCTTGTGCTGCAAAGTCCACGACGTCAATATGAAGCAGTTCCAACCCAGCAGGAGCCGAGCCGAGAGCTATAGCATGTCCATGGGAATATCGTATTTGGGCCACTGATAATATCATCATTTGGTCCCGGCAGCGCACCGACCGCGCGACTCCGTATGGATCATTGGGTGCCTTTCATGCAATGAAATCATGTGCACGCAAGAAATAGCTGCAAGCAGAGCAGGTGTGTAGCCGAAACCCTCAAGAACCTTTCTCTGGATAGATTTAAGGTTTCCGGGCCGTTCCTAACAAAACGAAGCCTGTAATTCTACCTAGGTATCCGCTGAGCCCTGTTCTTCCGTGGTTGATTGTTGTAAGGTTGCATTCTTTGTTCTGTATGAATTGGAAGCGACATAAGAGCAACCATGGATCCATCCAGGATGTGATGTAGATCGATGCAGGACTGTTCAGATCCACATCCATAGGGATCTCCATAAACCCATAGTATAGATAGGATATTTTCCAACAAATCACCGACATGGATACGAAAAGTACATAAAGTAATGTAATCAATGCTGAAGCACCCACTAGTCTGTACCAAACGAGTAATCTGGCAGTTCGTGCTTTCAAGTAGGAAAGTTTTAGTCAACAACGAACTAAGCCAAGTAATGTTTTAAGCTCAGCTCTGAATCATTGACAATTAGTTGTATCGTAGGTCTAAGGTGGCACACAATCAAATAGAAATGGGGCGAAGATGACGCTATAGTGGGCCATCCAGAATGGTAGCACAATTTGAATAAAATGACTTTGGTTGAGACATGGAATTGCCTGTCTAGATTTGACATATAGCAAAGAAATGGATGGGGCCCGAAGGCCAAAGAATTGTTCATTGGTTGAAGATAAAACTATTGGCTAGGTGTTCACAAAGAATACCCGTGGACCCCCACTATACCGCCTTTATAGCCTTCCAAATCCGGGACACCAAGAGTCGACGGGGAATTAAGGTTGTGTTTGACCTCTCTACTTGTCCTGGGTGCGGTTGTCCACCATCGTAGATACCGCCGAAGCCATAGTCATCATCCATCTCCGATGGTCTAACAACATTACAGACTACGTTCGTTGTTGGCTCGAGATCGATCTCCAGAGTCGCTCGCGGGCCATCAAGCGATGGAATAATTTCCTCCTGCCAGCCCTGCTCTGCTGCCCGGTTTTCCAAGTCTTGGGCATAGAATGGATCCTCGCTTCGCTGTACAATTTGCAAGAGACTTTTTGTCTCCCTAGTAGTGCTACTGGGGAAAGATCGCGTAGCTAGCGTTTCGGAGTAAAGGATCGGTTTGCAACTGGATCATTGGGTACTTAGGGCAAGAAGGCAACCTCCAGGGCCGAAGACACTTTAACCTGACCAAGCGATGAGTCGATATGCCGATGAGGCAGCTGAGTGCCACTGTGGGTGTAGCTTGAACTTTCTCTCACCGCTACATCCCGCTGCCTGAACAGGATCCTCTTTGCATTAGATCGACTCCGGGTGATTATTACTAGTGTACTTGATGAAATACACGGAGTAGTTTATTTGGTATTAAACTGCTTTGCCTAGTTGATAGGTAATTGCTGATTAGTGATATCACCGGCTTGGGGTATATCAGCTAGCGTTCTGTGTTGCCCTGTATAATAAAATAAGGGTTGCACGGTGATAGACATCCAAAGGCAAATGTCGGGGTCTGTAGCGATCCGCACTGTGCGTGAATCTGGGTATCGTTGTCCGGAAGCGAGTGTATAGAGAAGTACTATCCGAGTCATTCATTGTACATGTAAAAAGAGACCAAAAGAAAAAAGAAAAAAAGAAATCCTATACATTAGCGAGAATTCACGCGAGGAAATAAAGCGCATGTACGGAAGCAAAAAGCAAGAGAATGTACAGGCACGTGTAAGTGTCCAAATCGCAAACCCCTCTATATTGAATGGCTATCACGGAAGGAATCTAGGCTAATGGAACAAGACAAATTAGGCATTTATCATCATCTCTCATCATGGTCATGAAGACGGTGTGGAGGTGGTGGTAGATTGCCGCAAGAGAGCAAGCCCCAGGACAAAAGAAGTATAGGAGGAAGAGAATATAAGCAAGGATAAACAACAAGCAGCACTGTTTGTTACTGGGCCCAGGGTTGTTGGAAGAAGTTGTCGTCCATGGGTGGGGTGGAAGTAGTATCAAAGAGACCGCTAGGCCATATAGGAACAGAGTCCGGCGGCGGTGAGGGAGCGCTGGTAATCGGGGCCGACGTCATGGGCTTGTACACTGGTATCTGCGACATGGTGTAGATATCCTGCGCAGGGGCTGGTTTTGGCTCCACGCTCATGCTGGCTTGCAGCTGGTGCTCGAGCGCAGCGGTAGACTCATTAGTCGACTTAAGGAAGTCATCGATGTTGATCGAGTCCAGCTCATTGGATGACAAGAGATGCGTCTGAGGTAGACCAGCCAATGAGGATGCAGAGCTGACGCGGAGATGGTCCATGTCAGACGCTTCGCTCACGCTGTGCAGATCATGCATGTCATTGCTAGCATGGCCCAAACCTGGAAGCGGTCCAAACTCGTCAGCCTCGGAAATGTCTCCGGACGATGATGGCGGTGGAAGACCCGAGGGATATCCGGTGTAATCAAAGCTAGCATATGAAGGAGCTTGCGTACTGGCTGCAGCAGGAACGTCGGAGTATAGAGGGAAACTTGACCAGTCGACCGAGGGAGCACCGATGCCAGCAGACCCTAGGGGCATGTCGGAGTCTGGAGAAGTGAAATAACATTCTTGGTAATGTTCTTGGAATGCCATGGAGGTGATCGGAGAATTGGTGCTCGTGGTCGGGAAGGAGGCGAAAGAGGAGACGTCAAGTGGAGGAACACTGGTGACAATCTGCTCCAGAGGGAATTTGTCCATGGTTGCAGGGGCAGATATTGGGTTTGACAACGCATCATGGGATCGGTCTAATGATGGGGCGTGAGGTGTTGGCGTGACGAAATTGTCGAGGTACGAGTGATCGAGAGGAGCGGGATTCAAATCGTCTTCGGCGCCCGAAACATGCGCGCTGTTGGGAGAACCATTTTGCGACGTCTGTTGTGATGTAGGAAATTCGGACAGGGTAAGAGGTTCCTTGATAAAGGTCGACTGGCCTAGCGGCAAATGATCCACCGACCGACGGGGTAAGTCGGTTGGGTGGTGGATGGTATGCGATCGCGGGATCGTATAAGGCAATCCACATTTGTGGGCCATGTCATTATGCTTGTGGGCGGGTTTATGATGACCGTCGCGGAAAATCGTGAGCGTCGATTCAGATTTGGTAGACGTAAGAGGGGGTTTCCGTGGGGTCTCAGTCGTAAGCGGGGGCGGAGAGAAGGGAAGACCGGTTTCAGGCACAGTATCGAGGTGTTCCTTTTTGAGTGCACAAATGCAGCGCTGGCCATGACAGCAACCACAGCGGCCATGGGGAATGCCGGTATGGCAGTCTTCCTTCTTTTTCTTTTCACCGCAATCACACTGGGTGTGGGTTGTCCGAGACTTGCGTAGGCCGCGGCAGTGAGTACATTGAGAGACTGGGCGGCCTTTTTTGTTGATGTGGGTCAATTGGCGGTCTAAGGGAAATTAGCATAGATATTCATTGTTGAAACAATGTAAAATTGGCATACCACTGTGGTGACAGCTGCTGACTCGGTGACCCCGGACGCAAGCCTCACAAGCATACTTTTCACCATCGATGAGCATCGCTGCGGTGTTACTGGGAGGTACACATGCGATGATTCGCGAAGGATATCGGAGAAAATCCGAGTATTGAAATAAAAGAGATCGGTTGAAGAGACCGAGATATCAAGCCGTCAAGGCGATTGGAAGCGGCTCCTTCGAGAGGTCGGGCCGAGTAGAACAAAATGAACAAAAGGGTATAATCGTATAGTCGAAGGTCCCAATGCGGCGGAGGAGTTCACAGAACGCCGGACTAGCAGTGTAAAATGCCGTTGAGAGCCACTGCACTGTCTTTGATTGGAACAGAAAGCAGAAAGAAATCGAAAATCCAAAGGGTATCTCAGGCGCGAGGTAGAGGAGGAGGGTGGTCAGGGATCGGAGAGTAAGAGAGAGAGAGAGAGGGGAGAGGGGGACCAAGCCTACGCACCGTTTGGCGCCGGCCGTTAGACAGGACACCAAGTACCGGTAGTGGCGGCCAAGATAAAAAGCGTTCGATAAAAGAAGACGTTGGACACGCAATGAGGAAGAAAAAAGAGGAGAGGAAGGAGGGCGGGCAGCAGCCGTTAATAACGGGGTATGGAACGAGGATTTTCGCTGCGCCACTGGTCTTTGTGGGTGGCCGTATATGTACATGGATAACTTGTATCGTACTTTTACTGGGCTTTTACTGGGCCTTGACTGCTTTAATTTACTGGATTTGGTTGTAATGATTTTACATGCATATATAGCAATTGCACAGTGGTTAATAGTAGTCAATACATATGTAACTGTACTTATTACTAAATATTCCCGTAGCAATTGGCTAATATGTAGTGAATAATTTGTACAATTACTAAACATTCTATGTTTCCAAGGTTCTTTGACTAAAAAACAAACCCTTGAATTCTTCCCAGTCCTTGGGGCTCCACTTATAGGAACCATCGCTGGTTAGGGTTGTCCAACGCACATCGTGAGAATTTGGATTTAGTTTTGCTTCTTTTTATCGGCTAGTTTTTCTTTTCTTTCCCTCTTTCCCCCCCTTTTTTCCCCTTCCTTTTTCTCCATTTTAAATTTTTGACTTTTTTTAATGCCCAAACTGGCAGCCCCAACCGTGTGTATATAGTACGTGGAACAACCAACTGGTGGTGGCAACG